GGTCCCTTCCAGCCCAAAGCATTCTATGATTCTATTTTTTCCCATCTGACTTAGTTTTAGCCTCAGCAGTGCAGTCTGTCATTTAAACAAAAAAACCCCACCCAACCCAACTCCAAAGCAACAGAAATCCCCAAGACTGACCCAGGAAGCAACAAAGTTGCTTTCAAAGAAACCTGTGCAGCATAAAGCATCTGTCTGAAGTGTCCAAATGTTCATGGGAAAGAGCATGAATTGCAGAATAATTTAGATTGAAAAAGGCCTCTGGACATAGTCTTGCCCAGCCCTCTGCTCACAGCAGGCTCCCACAGCTTGGGTCACTCAGGGCCATATTCACCTGAGTTTTGGCTATATGCAAGGATGGAGATCATACAGGCCTTCTGGACAGCCTATTCTGGTGCTTAGCCACTTCATTGTTTAAAAAACAAAACCAAACCTTACCTAATTTTTATTTCCCTGCATTGCAACAAGTTTGTTGCCTTTAGTCTTAATCACCATGTACTTTTCAGAAGAGGCGGTCCCTCTCTTCTCTGTCTTCCCAGTAGATAGCTGCAAACAGCAGTAAGATCGCCGCTGAGTCTCCTTCAGGCTGAAATGTGGTTAATACAAACTGCACTGCATAGGGAAGGACCCTCAGTATTCGGTACCTGGCTCTTTTCCAGGAGGGTATGAAAGAAGTGGTATCTAAACAGGTCTGAGTTCACTGGTTGATCCAGGCAACTGATTCACACCTTGAATTCACTGATTGAACTGTGTGTCGTGGAGTCTGAGTACCTCCGGTTCCCGCAAACTGCTGTCTGCTGAAGCTCCCTGAAACCTCAGGGCTGGTTCTTTGGCACAGAACTGGGCTGGAAACCATGCAGAGCTCAGCTCTGACCCGGGACAGGCGCTTGGGGTTGCGCATGCCTATCTGAATTCATATTCTCACTTCAGTGAGTTCTGTGCTCAAACAAAACCAAAAGTAAATATGCCATTTTAAATGCTGCATCATGTAGATTGATGTTGACTATATCTGAAGTCTCATGTTTTTTATTATCAGTAGTAATTTCTTTGAAAAGGGAAAAAATATTCCCAGCTTTTTAATGCTTCATTTCCAGTAAGATGTTCTTTGTGTAGCAGCTGTGTGATCGGCATTGTACGTGCAAGATACTGGCATAAATGCTTTCTCTATTAAAAGTGAGAATGCAAGTCACGCATAGAGGGCATTGAGTTTTAATCTTTGAGATTATCCTTCCTGAGAGTCTTTGAGCAGTCATGTAAACTTGCCCTTGCAACAGTTACCGCAAACCCAAACTTTGAAAGTAAGGCTCTTCTCTAAGTTTGAAGTATTTGTAGCCCATTTCTAGCTTGCTTTTTTTTTTTTTCTCTTGTGACAGTCTTGCAATAAAATACAGTGCTGAATTAGTGGCCCTAGAGGTTTCTTTTTTGAAGAGGTAAAATGTTCTTAAGCAGTCAGATAAATATTTGTTCTGTTGATCCGGGTTCTCCATAAACTCTTCACCAGTGAGACCTTGTGGTGTAGAAGCAACACAGAGTTTGTGTACTGATTCTTCTGTATCTGTTCCTAGCCTCCAGCATCCATCCCTCCCCTTGCTTCGAAATAAGCAACAGAGCTATACTGAATTTATGCTTGTGTTAACATCCTAGAAGTAAGTCTAGAGCATCCCACTTTGTCCATTGAGCAATTCCATGTCTCTCTCTTTCTTCTGTTCTTATTCTGCAGCTGCAACTCTGACGTTCTGGAAATGGTTGAAATCAAGTATCCAGAGAGAATTTATAGAGGATGCCCTGGCCTTCTGTATAACACATACTGGCAGGCAGCTTAGAAGGGCATCCTTTCTGAAGCTGTATATCAGGCTGTTTGGTCTGCCTGAAAAGTGCTTGGGTTTTTAGGGTTTTTGGGGAGCTTGGGGACTGACTAAATATATAAGCTTTGTTAACGTTGCTTTATCAGGTGAGATGGGATGTAGAAAACATCTAACAAGTCCAGTAACTTTTTAGTGTGTAAAAGACTTGATGTTCATTAGAAAACTGAAAATACTTCCGTCAGGTTTTCCATAAAGATTTTAATTTTTTTTTTTTTTTGAAAAGCATTAATGACTTCAGGATTTCTGCAGCTTATGTCTCTGACAGACGTTTCCAGCTGATGCATTTCACGTTAATGTTCAAAACATGTTATTTTGGGACTGTATGATAAATATAGCAGTATGCTTGCACCTTTGTAAGATTGGGGAACTTTCCCCTCTCTTAACTCATCTTTTGAACTACCAAGTGCCTAGTATTTTTTGCTAATGAAACTGTCCGTGATATTTGTGTGGCTTTCTTGGCCCCTTCCATTTTCACACCTATTTCCTTCATGACTTAGCCCCATGTAGCTTTAGCCAGTTGGCTGCACCTTGCCTTGACCAGCTGCCACTGCTTCTGCTGGCCTCCTGCTTCCACACTGGCCACCCTGGTTCTGGCTGCATCCTGCTGTGAGACAGCAGCTGGCAGCAGGGATCAGGTGTTCCTAAACAGTGTGGTGCTCGGAGCAAAGGTCATCCAGTTTGGTATTTTATCAGTAGAAGGTGTATGAAGACAGGATGTTTCCCTGTAGCTGTGTTAGCTGGGCCATGGGACTGTGAGGGCTAAAGGACGTTTCACTTTCAAATACTGAATATCAATTATGGATATAATTGGCGTATCTTCAAAACCTATTTTAAAATAACTGGTATATTTTATTATGGGAGGAAAATGTATGAGTGGATTATATCCAGTTGTATAATGCGATCACATCCTGCTCTCCAGTGCATCTTGCTAATGCAATAGCAACAGGGGTTTCCCATCTGCTTTTGTAATGAATTCACCCAAGGACGGTCTCTGAGCCTAAGAAGCTATTACTTCTGTTGGTGTCCCTCTCTCTATTCTCAGTTTAGTAGCAGTATAGATCTGGCTTTGTGCCACTGCTATGCATAAGCTCATCTGTACAGTTTTTATTCTGGCTTCTGATTTACTACAGGATTTCTGGCTGATGCTGGTTAGATCAGTTTCTAACATAGTCTTCCTGATGTGTTCTGCGAGCCTAGCTCTTCTGAGGTGTAAGGGGGGTGAGAGCAGCGGAAAGCTTTGGCTGCTTGCCTGGCTGAGTTGGTGAAGATGTCTCTAGCCATAACTGGTAGTGCAAGTAGCTTGGAGGTGACTGGCCCTAACCTGTCGCTTTGTGCAGAGCTGCGTTTCTGCCGCATCCATCATGCGTAGCTGTAAAACGCTCTGGGGTTGTTAGGAACATGCTTGTATAAACCTCTGTATTTCAATTGTCAGTATTTTAAATTTCAGTAAGTAGATTTATTTTGCTGAGGGGGTTTCTTCCCCTCTGTTCTCCTTGAGTACGTACTTCTCTTTTCTAAATAAAATACATCTTAATCTTCCAGTTACTCTTTAATGATCTTGTTGCCACTATGTTCTTTTGATTGTAGAGAAAAAGGGCCGGAGGCGTGCCAGATACTAGTGCCATAGCTACTACTTGCTGTACCTTCTCTTGCATTAAAACTATTTTTCCACTCTGAACTTGAAGAGAATGAGGTGTGTTCTTTTGGTTGGCTTTTTTGGGGGGTACAGTTTGGTTACTCTTTACACTGTCATAAAGATAAGTCTGTTTAGGGTTTTTTGTGGTGTGTGGTAGGATTTTTTTCTTTGGTATACCTTCTTTATTCTCTGATTATTACCTGTCAACTTCATTTACCATCTGGAGAAACAGATCTATGGATGCAGAGTGAGGGTTACAGGGAGCAAAACCAGCACTGACTACTGACTTGTCAACAAAAGGATCAAGCATCCATCTTGATCTTGCAGTTGTCTGGAACAAGGATTAAATCACAGATCATCCTAAGGCGGCAGGGGAGCTTTTAGTAAGTGGGTATCAATTTGTTTACTTACCAGACCAAAACCACTTTGACTGTTCTTATGTGTTCTCTCTGCAGAACTGGAGTCTTGGTCTTTTCTTAGTACATTATAAAAGGAACAGTGCTCAGTTAAAACCTTGTGCTTCTCCAGCTTCCTGGCATGGCCCTTTCATTAGGTTACAAATTATTTTTTGTCATTGTGTTTGATGCATCCCTTATTGATAGTGGTTTTTGGTTGGTTTTTATCTAGGCTGGCTGGCTAATTCTTACATTCAGAATCTCAGTTCTCTTATGATTGCTCATTTTTTACTTTTTTTTTTTTGTGAAACGTGGAAAATGCTTGCAAAAGACATGTAGGTGGCTTCTGTGTGCATGTCATCTGAATTTTAGTTGCAATGTTTGCAGAGTACACAGGAGATTGTGCAACAAGCATTGTTTGCTTGCTTAGAATTGCCAGGCAAAAAAGCTGCATCCTTGCTGCAGCCATAAAATATTATAGCAAACATCACTGTTTGGGCTCAGTTATGGTCACATGTTTTCAGCAGTCTTTATTTGCCAGCAGTGGTGTATATACTCAGTTCTGTCCTTAGGCAGGTGAAATGTACTTGATGTGCCTTAGCGTTTAGCCTCTCGTGCAACTCGGGGTTTACAAGTTAGAGGTGTCAGTGAGGGTGAGGAAGACAAAACGGGAAACAGAGTATTTTGTTTGTCGCTTCAGGTAGATACCAGATTTTATAAATTCATCAGTAGTTTTGATGAGTTCAGGGCCTCTCTTCCTCTGCAGGAAATTGATAGTAACGATTCACTGCAAAATGTTTATGAAGCACGTACGCTTGTAAGGCTTATGCATTATACCTTGGATGTTACTTGAAACTAGAAAGTTAGGTACAGGAGTAGCAAATGAGCCTCACGGATTTTTAACTCTCTTCCAGGACTCATAGTTGGGGTGATCTTGAGATACGGGACTCCCTCCACCAGCGGCCATGACAAGCCGTTCAGCTGCTCGCAGGACAGGCCGTTTACAACCCTGCTGGTCAACGTCAGCGGGAAGTTCTTTGAGTATACGCTCAAAGGGGAAATAAGCCCTGGGAAGATCCACAACGTGGAGCAAAATGACATGTTGCGAAAGGTGAGGGTAGACCATTTCTTGTGCTTGGCTGAGTGTTTATCTCTGCTTCCCTCCCTCCTCCCCACACCATCCTATTTGAATGGTGGGTAGTATCAAGTGTCTGTATTCCTGATAGTAACAGCACTTCAATGCTTAATTCAAAAGCACCTTCGCTGCTGGCGAAACTGTGCTCTATTGTGTCTGTGTAGTGCTTTCCTACAGTCCTTGACTGCTGTTTGAAGACTTAATGTATGTATCTAATGTCTGTAGAATTCACAAAGACCAGCTGAACAAAAAAGTCTGAGTCTGCCTTTTATAATACAATATAAGGAAAATATCTCGTCTTAGTGGAAAGTGATTGTTTCTTAGTGTTTTTTTTTCCTAGGGTTTTTTAATCTGTTTATCATCAGGAAATAGTTACTGCTTATGTCCCTATAATCCACCAAATGAGACAGTCTGGTATTGGAAGTGAAATTCATCTGTTAACTGTTACTTAGATCTGCTGTTTGGCTTCTTATTCTAGTCAATGTCAGGAATTAACCACCTTTTGTGTGTGTCAAGGCTAGACTTTGAAGTGTAGGATCATAGAATCACAGAATCATTTAGGTTGGAAAAGACCTTAAGATCATCCAGTCCAACCATTAACCTGACACTACCAAGTCCACCACTAAACCAGTTAAGGGTAGAGTAGTAATTTCGTGTTTCCTGGCTTGGTGGCTGGATTATTTTTTAATGAAAGTAAAAACTAGGAATCGTTAAGGTTGGAAAGGACCTCTAAGATCATCAGTCCAACCATCAGCCCAACACCACCATGCCCACCGAACCATGTCCCAAAGTGCCACAAGGATTGAGACTTTAGGCTTGCAACCTAGAAATACTTCTTTCTGCTGACTCTGAAGAGCTTAGGTGGCTGTTTATATGTACCTGTCTGATATAGATGAATCCTGCTTTTCTGAAATGAATCCTATTCTGGGAGTGTACACTTCTGTTTATCTTCTAATTTGTGCTTAGATGGGGTGAAAAGAGCCTAGGTACTCACATGTGTGCAGGTCTTGTGTTTGGATTTTAAATGTTGGGTTTTCCTCCTTACTCTAGTGTAGTCTTTCATGGATATCTGGAGCTTCCACTGAAATACGTGGAAGTGATGGATGATCCAAATTCCTGAAAAACAGTCTTGTATCTAACCTGATTGGCTTAAAACAGCTTAAACAGGATCTCATCTGCAAATATGTGAGTGTCATTTACAATAAGAGATATCTTCTCCAGCATAATTTCTATTAGAATTTTTAAATTTAAAAAGGGGACTGTGTTTGGGACTCCTGGAAGACTATCATTGGTGATGGAGGGTAATGTCTGTTTTTCTAGATGCTGTTTACCATGAAGAGCTGCTGCTTTATGCTGCTGCATGTGTATAGAGCTGGCCAGTATTTTTGAGGGTCAGCTTAGCCAGTTGTTTGCTATTTCAACAACCAAAAATAGTCGTTGTCAGAAAATGAAAGAGGAAAAAGACCTAATGATTTGTGTATGTCTGTTTCTAATTGAAGTTTCATATTTTCTTTTTTTAGGTAACATTTGACCCAGAAGTTTTTTTCAACATTCTGTTGCCTCCTATTATTTTTCATGCTGGTTACAGCCTGAAGAAAGTAAGTGTAATAATTTTCTGAGGAAAGTAGCCTTTTTTTTTTTTTTAATGTGAGACTGCTGATATGTTCATGAAATGGAGTGCAGTCTCCATTTCAAGCATTTTTTTTTTTTATGTCAGTAAGAAAAATCTCATGTCCTCCATAGATGGTTGGGTTATATTGTTTTAAAAGAAAATACATGTACTTTTTACTATTAAACACATGAAACACTATTTAATCTTGCAGATTTGTTTTCCTTTGAATGTTACCAGAGGTTAAGGTCAATTTCATTTAAATTAAAAGATGTCCTGCTATGAATTGTTTTGGTCCTTCTCAAATATCCAAAATGCAGTAAACTATGCTGAGAAGTGGATCCAAACCTGAATCCTGATGGCGATGTGCCAGACACTGAATGGCAGAACGGCCCAGATTTGTTCTCGCTTGAAGATACCATAAATCGGTGCTGTAGTCTAGTTGTGCAGCTAACTCTTACACAGCTCTTCTGAAAACACCTGTGTGGAAAGCTTCCTGTCAATAAGTTCCATGTAGGATTTAATACATGATTCAGATTTGGTTTATTCAATTTATTGAAGTTGGACAGAATTTACGTTGGAGTAATGGAAGCATTCCTCTGAAATGAAGGGGTGTTCCTGTATATTAATGTGAGTGTAGTACTGTGCTGTATGTTTTTGAACAGGTGATATAACTTGTTTTAAATAAGTATATAAACCTCTTTCCTATGCAGAGACACTTTTTCAGGAATTTGGGGTCAATTTTGGCTTACGCCTTTTTAGGAACAGCAGTCTCTTGTTTTATTATTGGGTAAGTGAACTCTGTGGTATCAGTTCCTTTCTATACTAAAGTTTAAGTTGATAAAGTGTTTGTTGAGCCTTCCAGATTGCCTCAATTTTGTAATTCGTTTGTTTGAGGATTTTATTTGTGTATCCTCCAGACAAAATGCAAATGTGACTTTTGCTGAGATTTTTCCCACTTCTAAACAATATTGTCCCTTGAATGATACTGTCAAGTTTGAATCACTTGACAAGTCCACAGTACTAAAGAGTGGCATTGAGTTTTTGATGTAATTGTCCAGTCCAAAACAAAACCTTGTTAGACTCTTACTGGAATTGACTTTAACTTGAATTGTGAACACTACTTGTAATAGCATTTTAGCTATCACACTTTTAGAGATGTCCCTTTCAGTGCCCACATGCATGTGCGTGTTCTCTCTTTCTCTCTCTGCCTATGTGTATATATATAATTTTATGTGTATATGTACACACACATTTAGTTTAAGATAGCTAGTCATGTTGGTTTACTTGCATACAATCTCTTATGCTGCTGATATTACTGTGCCTGGCATATGGATCTTCCAAAATACAGAAATCCTGAATTTCATAGGTGACCTTGGTTTGTCTCTCAAAGAATTTCGCTAGAGAAATACTTTGAAGGCTATTCTTAGCTCAGAGCTTTTGGCCTATGTACCGTGTTGGGAGAAGCAATACTGAGGGGAATTTTGAGCATGAAAATGTTCCCTTTGGTGGAAAAGGGAAACCACCTGTAGATTCTGTGTGCTAGTTGTGCGAACAGATTCCCTGCTTTGCTTACTAGTTTTAAATGATATATTCTGGATCATCTATCAGTTGACTCAGTTCACAGGGAAAAGAGGAAAATTGATTTTGAGAGCTTAGTGTTAAACTGTGGCAGTGTCCCACAGAGCTGTAGCATAACCAAGCCCACCTGAAATATTTTTGCTTGTGCTTTTCCTTTGCCTGTCTGAAATGCACCAACTTGTTTGACCTGGACTGTTTTATCCTCTTTCTCTTCAGGAATCTCATGTATGGGGTTGTGAAACTAATGAAGTTGGTGGGTCAGCTCTCTGATAAATTCTATTATACAGACTGCCTCCTCTTTGGAGCGATAATATCTGCCACTGATCCAGGTAGCTTGCTGAACGTTTTTTAATAACCTTCCAAAATAATCCTATTGCTAGAATCGTTGGCTGCATAGCACAACAATATTAACAGCACTTTATTTTCAGTTGTGTTATGCTATTATCTCTGTTCCTCTTCTCTGAAATGCATGCAAATTCGTGGTGTTGTGAAAGCTGTTCTCTGTCACTTTGGTGCTGGACTGGTGTGGTGTGATGGTATGTTTGGGGAAAAATGTAACTTTCCTATTCAAATACTTTAAATATATATTTTTTTTTCCCCTAGTAGGCTTTTTGTTTAGTGTGCATCAAGTTTAAGACTGCAAATAGATGAAATTATTACATTGTCTGGATAGCAAGACTTCCTTCTTTAGCTACGTTGCTTGGGACATTGGATAATTTAAGAGCGATATTTGAGGCTTTTAGGTTCTTTAGGTGTGGGGCATTTTTTTTTTTCCTCCTTCAAATGAACTTCATATTTTACAAGTTTAAGCAGAAGAATGCTCTTCTGGCAAGTTAGTTTGAGCTTTTGCCAAAATAATCTAGTCATCCTTCAAAATCCAGCAGGCTCACAGAGGTGTCTCTGCTTGACAGGTCCATCTGGAGAGCTCGTGTGTGTCAGGGCCAGGGTAGGGAGTGGTGAAGTATGAAGCTTGACATTCAAAACAGCTTATTTGAGGTGCTCAGTCGTGATTTGTGCGAAAATGGGAAGTAGCTCCTATGATTGAGCTGAGCTCTGAACAGCTGGTGGTTGCACACAGTTTATGCAAAAAAACGCGATGTGATTTTTTTTTTTTTTCTTTTTTTTTTTTTAAGCTCATATATGGGAACATCTTCAAGATTGTGGTCTTTTGTCTCGGACTGAAGTTTCTTGAAAGGATGGTTATAAATATTTAGCAGTCTCGCCCTTTTCAAATTCTGCACAAATGCGCACTCCTGTGGCATGATGTATGCTTTGGGGAACACTTAGGATTATTAGCACTAGTTTACAGTGGCTGAAATAATAAAGTTATGTCAACAATCCATACAGCCTTTAAAAGTAGCAAGAGCTGCACAATATTTTGTTGATTATCTTATATGGAACATGTTCTACAAAAATATCAGGGCTTTGGTAGAAGTGCTTTGTCTGCCCCACGCCCCTTGGTCATGGGGGCTTTCCTGTAAACACTGTGCAGATGGGAGGACAACAGAGCCACCTCCTAACAGAGCTTCCCTAAAACTGATGGTGGAGTTGCTTACCTATAGATAAACATGACCAATCTGTTTCCCAGTTTAATTTTGATCCTACACTTCAGTTCCTGGGTTTTGCTGCTTTAGGCAAACTGGGAAGTCTGCTCTGTCAGCTCACACAGTCATTCCTGAAGTCAGCCAGTGTGGTTTTTCTCTCTTCTTTCTGTAGTTACCGTGCTAGCAATATTTAACGAGCTGCATGCTGATGTCGATCTCTATGCCCTTCTGTTTGGGGAGAGCGTGTTGAATGATGCTGTTGCCATTGTATTATCTTCGTAAGTAACTACCTGAATTTCTACTCTGAAACTACTTAATTGCTTTTGGTACTTGTCTAAAATAAATGCTTTTTCTGAGAAATATTATTTTGAATTTAAATGGATTGTCTTGAACTGAATTAATAAACATTGTGAACATTTGCCAAGATCCTTCATACATACATACACCAGAAAGGCAAATTTGCCTTCAGTATGGGATTGTCTCTTCTGTTGCTTAGGTGTCGCTGTTATGGAATAAAACTTTTCTGATGCCACTTCTAACTTCTCATTCTCTTTCTAGATCTATAGTTGCCTACCAGCCAACAGGTGAAAATACCCATGCTTTTGATGCAGCAGCGTTTTTCAAGTCTGTTGGTGTTTTCCTGGGAATATTCAGTGGTTCTTTCATGATGGGAGCAGTGATGGGGGTTGTGACAGCTCTGATATCCTTTTTCATGTTTAACTCTTCCAGACTAGCTCTACATTCAGGTACTAACAGGGCTCACCTGTTTCCAACTATAGTAATGTTAACACTAGCTTGTTTTAATCTGAGTGTGAAGATGTGATCAATATTCATGTAACCTTTGTCTATAGAAAGGCATGTAAGTACCCACAGAAATCGCCTTTTTCTAATATAACTGTGGCCACACTAGAAATTTTAATGACGTTGCTGCATACTGCAAGCCAAAGGAAGGCCCTAAATGGGCATGTCCTAATATTCAGTTTCTTTTTAGGAACTTAAAAAAAAATGGGTTTTGTTATTAGGCTTGAAAGACATCTCATATGATAACTGGTGTTTGATTTTGTTGACAGCAAAATCATTAATAGCCATTTCTGACCCACAGGGTTCTTTCTGAGGGTCCTGCATTTAACCTTTCTGCTGGAAGTCTGATGTCATTTGTCTTGGATAAGACTGTATCTCTACCAGAGTTACCGTCATAACATGATGTGCTTTGCATGACCTGTCCTGCTCTCTTGAAGCTTACTGCCACTATTTGATTAGAGCTCCAAGGTGCTCAGCGAGCGATCTGTGTGGGTTTTGTTTTAGGCTCAGGTAGTAGACCTTATTAAGCCTGACCTGCTCCAGAAATTGTGATGCTTCTTCAGGAAAAAAATTCAAATTCTTTGCTTTTAGACTAGCTAGTATATTTGTACATATCTCAGATTGCTTTGATCTGCCTAGGTTTCTGAAAACTGATCTGAAAGGCTTAGAATGTGATATTTTATACAATAGTCAGGAACCTGTGATTCTTCATCTTAAGTAATAATGTCTCAACCGTGTCTTGTTATATACATACCATGCAGATTTGTCTGATATATGTTTGCATAATGGTAACCCTCCAGCTCTAAGGGGAAGACGTGCTGTGATGCTTTAATGTTTGGTCTTCCAGTTCCACTGTTCTGCAATCAATGTGGCCCAGAACCATGATTCTTGATCTGGTTTTTAGGCTACCGGCCATCCATAGCTCTAGCTGATCAAATACTGCTGCTGTGGTTTTGGGCTTGCTGGTTGGCTACTAATTACAGCTGAAATGTATTCAGATCCATTTTGTAAAATGATGCTTCTGAAGCAGCAATCGACTCTTGCTGTTTCTACTGTTTGTGCTCAGGAGGGTGCATGAGGCTGGGAGCAGGGAGGCTGTTCAGAAGAGAGCCTTTGTGGGTTGTTTGGGATCTTTTTAAAAATAAAACAAAAAACCAAATGAAAGTCCTTAAATTGTTGCTCAGTTATAGAATTTTAACTATTTTCTTTTGGAAAAATACTTAATGTCATGCAATACTGTAGAAGCAAACTGTAAATTTGCATTTTATTCTTTATAGCTGATTAGAACCCCTAAGTTACATCATGAATGAAGTAAATAGACTGTTATTCCCACAGCTGTGAAATACCTATAACTGTACCTTTCTACGAGTGAGGGGTTTCATGCAGTCCTGCATTGTCCTTTGAAAACAGACAGAATACTTAGTTTCCAAATATGATGCAGATAATATATGTGGACTTGTTCTGGCTTTCAGCAAGGTGTCTTGGCCTTACTGTCTGTCGTTATTTTTGTAACAGTTAAGGTATTGTACCACTTTGTTTTCTTTCTAAATTGCAGAATCTGCCTGGTTGAAATGAAGTGAAGCAGAAGGCCATGCCTAAGGAATAAAGAAAGTTGTCTTAACTTAAGCATTAAAGCAAAGAAAACAGAAATAATAATTTAATTTGAATTAACACTTCAATTTGGTCAATTATTATATGAATTAATAAGATGATGATTTCCTTACCTTTCTCTCACCCTCCTTTTCCTCCAGAATGATGAGCAGAGGTTTTCATTTCAGATTTAATGAAATGTTTTGTATGTAAACATGTTGTAAGTATGGCTACTTACAATAACAGCAAGGGGAATAAAGAGTTTGATTCACAAAGCTGCCAGGAAAGACTGGAAATGAGGAATCTGTTCTGACAAGAGCTCTTGCCTAACTTCAGGGGAACAAGGTTCAACCTCTTCCTCTCCCATGGAGTGACTGTGGCTATCCAGTTTCCGAAGCATCCATGAATGCCTCTTGAGCTAGGCACTGGGATAAACTTGCAGTGGAATTATCCAAGTGCTCTTTGGGAAGATGGGTTCTAGTTGTTGCTCAGGTGGATGTTGCTGCTTCAGAAGCACCATGCTACAAAATAGGTCTGTTTAGGGGGGGTGGTGGGGAAAATCTAGCTCAGTGTAACAGTACATCCTCAAAAGTTTGAGAGAGATGGTTTATATAAGAAGTGACCATGTGGAGAAAAACAGCTGTTTAAAGAATGCTGAGTTTTATGTTTGGTGTAATACTGTCATGGAGCGAGATATATATTTTTATGATGGTTTGGGCTTTTGTTTAGAGTGCAGCCTTCTGACAAAGCAGGGTTGCAGGTGAAGGTGTGGCTGGAGTATGTGTTTCAGAGCCCTCATCCTCCTCCAAATTAGCAGAGAATGCCAACAAGAAGTAGGTGTGGGTGGGGAACTGGTGGCTGGCCTTGGCATTGCTTCATCCTAAAGAGGCTCCCACTGAAATGCTGCCAGCTGTTTGCCTCTGGTGTTAATCACCTGTGGCTTGTTGTGAATGCCGTATTCTGTGATAAAGTCCACAGGAGACTGTTTCCACGGAATCTTCTGGGCTGCCTGACTGCTGCTTGCAGGAGGCAGCCAAGAGCACTGTGAGCCCCAGACTGCCCAGGACCTGTGAATTTCCTTGTGAAAAGTGGTGCTGCTCATCAATCTTAACATCCCTATCCCATATTGAACCATGACTCCCCAAGCAGCAGGGCTGCCATTAGCTTTAGATTGTGTAGTGCTGCAGAAGCTCAGGATGCAGCTGTGTTATGCATGGAGAGCAGTGGTGGGTGATGGTGCAGCCTTGATGTGTCCACTGAGGTACTGATTGCCTTCATATGAGCAGGGGAGAGTGCTACCCCCTTACTCTTTCAAGTGTCTGTATTGTGCTCTTGCCATGCTTCCACCTGGATTTCAGAGAAGATCGTGCTGGTTGTCAGCTTTCAGAAAGACCAGGGATCTCTCTACCACCCCTGTTAGCACATCGTTTCTTTCTCTGTCTTCTAGTAGTTGTGCATAGCTGTCTGCACCTCAGGTACAGTGAGCTGTTCAGTGTTTGCCTACAGCTAGAGTAGATGAGGGGGGAAAAAAAACCCCCACAATTCTATAAATATGTGGACAACTCTTTTGTAGTATGTGAAGAACTGTATTTAACACTGCTGAAATCTGTTCCACTTCTTCAGTAGCTCTATGAACTGTTAATTCAGTGTGTGTTTGACATTCCTCAAGTTTTGTTCTCCTCTGGAAGATGAACTTTTTTTTTCCCCATTGAAAGACTGAGCCCCTCCGAGTTGGTTTTTACTCTAAAACACATCAACACAAGGAGAGGAAATATTTTGTTGTAGGCAGGATTTCTGTTTTGCCTGAAAAGTACAGAAGTAGCCACACTTGCTGAAAAAGACTTGTCAACAAATCTGAGCAGAAAAATTCTGATAAATCTGCTTCATCTTAGGGTTGCTGTAGTCAAGAACAGCCCTGTAAATTAAATGCTTCTGAATATATTTTATGCTTTATTTAAAGATGGGGGAGTGTCTTTATATGGGGGGAGGAGGAAGCAAGCCCAAAACAAAAGAAACCCCCAAAACCAAAACACACATTCTAAAAGGAATGCAAGATATCTATCCCTTCCCTGCTGGCACTTTGCAGGGAAATGTGGCATTGAGTAAGATATTACCTCAAAGACATGGAGCCACAGTTATGCCATGCATTTGCAGCAAAAAAAATCCAAAACTGGCTGTTGCAAGGGGAGACCTTGATTCTGAAGTTTGTCTTGATGTGATGGAACTGATGTTTTTCAGCACTAAGTGTTTTGTCTTCCAACTAGCGTTGGTTGTTAGCCCATAAAAGTGTTTTTTATAAATACTGGGTACAGAGAAGCCAAAGGATTTATTTTTTGATCCCTTAACAAATGACTTAACGTGACGAAGTTTACAAAGTTGCACTGCTTCCCCCTGCTGGAAACGGCTCTCTTCTTCTTGATGTCCTGGAGTACTTTCTTGATTGCAGAAGCTTGTGGCTTTACTGGTGAGTTGCTGGGACTTGAGCATGTGGAGACAGAAGTCCTGTCTGTCTTAGCAGCCCTTTTTCCACTATCTCATTGAAACCTGCCGATGAGAAGCAAGATGTTGGTGCTTTAAGCTTTTTCTACCTTCTGTACAATGCCGTTGAAGGTGCAGCTTGCTGTGTGGCTTTTAAAAGCACTGGCTTGGTTCACACACCCAGCTCGCCCCTGATTCCAACCTGGAATCTAACTCGGTTCAAGATAAGGTTCATAAAATCTCAAAGTTAAGGATAATGTATAAATTTAATAGAACTTGAGAAAGGTAAATCTGTTGAGCTCACACAGTAAACAGGAAGATTTTTACATGTGATTCTGTTCACAGGTGTAGTATCTGTCCTCTTCTGTGGAATTACCCAGGCGCATTATACATACAATAATTTGTCAGTTGAATCAAGAAGTCGCACTAAACAGGCAAGGCATTTTCACCTTTTGTACACTGTTTTGCTGTAGTATTCTGTGTACTACTGTTTTTGAAAAGTAGCTTTATTGCTTGTGCATTAACATGTGACTGTTTTCTCCCTAGCTCTTTGAGGTATTGCACTTCCTGGCAGAGAACTTCATATTTTCTTATATGGGTTTGGCACTGTTTACTTTCCAGAAACACATATTCAGTCCAGTTTTCATCATTGGAGCTTTTGTATCCTTTTTTGCTTTGTATGAGGTTTCTCTGTCTTATGTGCTTGAAAACTTGTGGTGTCTGTTGGCTTTACCAAATAAAGGATGGTGGCTGACCTGAGTTTCTCTCAGATCTTGCAGGTACAAGAATTTTGAGAACAATCTTTGGTTACCCCTTACATCAAATCCCTAAGGCCTCTGTGCCACACAGGTGTTGGCTCTGCACCTGAGCAAGTGCTAGAAGTCATATAATTTCAATCAATAAATACATGAATATGCTTTACTGTGTGACTTGGCTATTGACAGCAGGCAGTGCCTGTGTTGCTCTTGCATTTGAACTTTGGGGGCCTAGAAATTATTCTTTTTTTTTTTCTCTTTGCTTCCAATGGTCCCTTGAGGAAAACAAAAAAAACTTCAAGTAAATGGGATTGTGGGCAAACAGAATGCTTTGAGCAATGCCCCAAAGGTAGAGGTCGAGTTCTCAGGTGATGGGAGGAGGAAGGAACTGAGCTGTGGTGCAGATCGTGACATGAAGGGTATACACTGCTGAAAAGTGCTGGTGTTGGAGGTGGGTATCTAGTACCTGTTGTCCCTGGCTGACTGGGTACCTAGCTCTCAAATTCCCCGGAACTGAACACTTTTGTAGTAGTCACACCCATGTAAGCCTGGAATCACTAGATTCCTCTCTGCACGCCACCCCTGTTGAAATAGCTTGTGTACCTATTTCTTCACTATATTTCTGGCAGCTTGAAAATTCACAGCAATTAAAAGTGTGCATGAAGCAATGGGAACTACTCTTCCAGTCCTGACTTCTCTCTCCCTGCTGCAGGAATAGTGCTATCAGCAATGAGACAAAACCCCGCGAAAGGACATATAAAGATGGCCTAATCCAGAACATGTTTCTTTTCTCTCCTTTTTCTACTTTTTTGTCTCATCTCTGTACTGCTTCTAGGAATTTATCACACTTGTCTTTATTTTCCTTTGGCCATTACTTTTTTCTGAAACAGTAATAAATTTTCTCCTGTGTCTCCTCACATCTGTTCTTCTGAACTAAAAAATGCTCCAGAGCCCTGCAGCCATTGGATAAAGACGTGAAAAGAGTTGCATCTGGTATACTAAGCATTGTAATTTTTCATCTTTGCTGTGGCCTTCTGTCCTGTCTCAGATTATTCTATCTGTACTGGGTTTGTTTTCAGTATTTATTTTGTTCCTTTCTCTCTCACCTACCTTTTATTACATTTTTCACATCTTTTTCTATCAATGCACTGAAGCTCTATTGCCTCTTGAGTGCTTTCCAACCTTTGTGAGGAGTGCAGCTAGTACTAGCACCCACATTTTGCCTCAACAGCTACTGTTCCCATTGAGTTATCACCTTGCGGGAGCAAAATGTAGAGGCATCATTAGCTGTTGAAAGAGAAAGGTGGGACTGCAAGGGCAGAGCTAAAGCCTCAGTGTCATTGACAAAATCCTAGCCATTGTTTCTATGTACGCTGGTCATGATGGCTTCTGATGTCTGATTTCTGCAGTCCTCAGAAGGACTGCTATAAAAGTTATTTGGAATACTTACATGTAGATTTTTGTACAAAGTAATAATAAAAATCTAATTTTCTTAGAGACATAACTTCCTGCAGACAGCGTTGCTTTACTTTAGCTATGACAACAGCCCAGTGATGTGTAGAGCTCTTATGCGGTTTTATTTCTTTTCCATGAGAGCTGTTTCATTCTTCTAATGTTGTTATCCCAGGAGCAAATGATCAGTGTTTGGTGGGCTTCTGGTTGTGTTGGTGTTTTATAGGATTTCAACACATCACTCTAGTTTGTCCCAGACTGTTCCTCTAGATGTTGGAGGGTGTATTCAGTTTTCTACTTCTTCACTAGAACCACTGAATATTTCACACCACAGTAAGGGAGGGAAGGAGCTTACCACCTACTGTAATGAATTTCTGCAATACTCTTTTACTACTCCTTTTGAACTTCACTCTAGTGCTGACAAGAGGTTTTGGATTTATCATTTTAGTAACTCTGTACTCTTAAGTGCTTGCCAGTCAGTAGGAGATTCTGCCTCTGCAGGAGCTGTAACGGTAGCTACTTGCTGGTCTTATGTTGGTTTTCCTTCTGTGCATGGCACTACGTTTCTCTTCGTCTGAAACACAGAATCAAATGGTGGTAGTGATAGTTGTTCAAAGTGTGAATTTTTTAAGTAGTCTTCATTTGTACAACTGGTAATTTTAATACTAGGTATAATTTCACTGTGCATAAAAAAACCTGATTATATTAGTTAAGATTTGCATTCTGTGCAATGAATTCTGTATGCACATAATTGGTGAAAGTCTGGCTTATATAGACAGAGCTAACAAGAACGCTTGATGTCACGATGTAAACCTCTCACTAAAACATCATGTTTTACTTGCATCATGTTTTACTCTCACTAAAACTTCATGTTATAGCCAAGTACCCAAAAGTGCATACCTCAGGAAAGTGAAATCCTTAACCCTCAGCTGTGAACAGATTGCAATCTTTTTGGGCAGAGCTGCACACATCTACCCTCTCTCCTTCTTGTTGAATCTGGGCAGAAGGCATAAGATCAGCTGGAACTTTCAGCACATGATGATGTTCTCAGGTGAAAGCAAAAATGTTTGGTAAAGCGAAAAATCTTATCTTTAACTCATAAGCAACTTATAGTACTACCTTCTGCTTTTATAATCCGCATCCTGAATAGAAGACTTACATGATGGCATGCTGCAACAACCATTATCTCTCAACCTTTACAGAAAGTGTGTCATGTCTGGGAAGAGTGACATCTTGAAATGCCAGCTGCTGGCAGCAAGCAGCCACCTCATGTTGGGAATAGATGTTTTCATTTGAAGTGCATCTGAAAGGGATGGGGGAATTGGGGTGTATCTTTTCAAGAAGGTTATTTCTAGCTGAGATGATGTACATGTTTGTTGTGGTTTAACCCGGCAGGCAGCTAAACACCACACAGCTGTTCACTCACTCCCCACCCCACAGTGGGATGTGGGAGAGAATGGGGGGGGAGGGGGAGGAAAGAAAGTAAAACTTGTGGGTTGAGATTTATTAGTTTAATAGGACAGAAAAGGAAGGAAAACCAACAATAATAATAATAAATAATAATAATAAAAGAAATATAAAATAAGTGATGCA